AAAAAAAAAAAAAAAAAGATGAGGGGAACTGAGAGCCAACAAGTGACTGTATAACAGACCGGGCTGCGTGGGGGGGGCCCACTGCCTTCTTCCTGTCAGACCCAGGGCTTCCTTCCAGTAACTCAGCTGACCGAGCAGAGGAGGCCAAGTTGACTTTTCCTAGATTGAATTTATCTTGCCTCTCCCCATGTTCTTCTGGGAGAAGATTGTTTTGCTAATCCAAGGACCTGCATCTTTCCAGCAGCCCTGTCTCATAAAATCTCAGCTGTACAGACCACCGAGGGAATGGGGTTTCCAAGAATGTGCTCTTTCCTCCTGGAATTGTAGATTGTGTCAGGACAGCTCTGGGGACTGGGCAAAGTGTGGATGAATTCTTCTACAAGGGCCCTGTTGTGAGGACAGTCATTTGCTGGGTTTCAGTAACATTCCATTCCCTGATTGGGCAATATTTCTGCGAAGTACCCGCCTGTGAAATTCACTGTGGTGCCCCTAACGCCTTAATGAGAAGAGCAGACTGTTAGTCACACAGATGATCAGAGAGAATTGACAACAAAAGTGTAAACAGGATCTAATTAGTAAATCTGTGACTTGGCCATTCCTGTGAGATACAGCGTATCTGTTTTCTCCTCAGGCGCAGAGAACTCACTGACCCCTTGGGCTCTGTAGACAGACTTCCCAGCTCCCACTGCAGCCCAGCAGTTGGCAGAGCAGTCTGGGAGCCTGGGGGAGAAAGGGCAGAGTCAGAGCAAAGAGCCTCTGTGTGTGGGAAATCTGTCCGGAAACTAAACCCAGTAGCCAGATGGATTTGTGAAACGGGAGCGCTAGGATTTCAGGTCTTGGGAGGCCCTTGGAAGTCATCTTACTCGTGAAGAGACTTGCCTGAGGTCACACATTTAGTGGCAGAGTTAGGAGTGAGACTTAGGCCTTCTGCTTCCTTTTCAGGTTTTTCCAGAGCTTTCTTGTTAGTCTCCCTTGAGTGCCTCTGTGATTTAGGACAGTTTAACATTCTTCTATCCTCACTTGTCACTTGCTGTTCCCTGGGAGGAATGACAATGTTGCCCAGATTGATGAAGGGAGTCTGTGTTGCTGGGTCTGGGCTGGCTCTGAATGGGGATGGTGTCCAGACTTTTTCACCCTTAACTGTTTACTTTGAAAAATTTGAAACTTACAGAAAAATTGAAAGCATAGTACAGTAAACACCCACACATTCCTCATTTAGATTTACCAATTGTTAACATTGGTCACACTTGCTTTCCCTTTCTCTGTCTATACTTAAATTTATATACACGCTTATTTCATTTCTCTGTGTTTTAACTAGTCATTAAAAGTAAGTTACAAGCGGTCCCTAGGTGGCTCAGTCGGTTGACCATCCAACTCTTTTTTTTTTTTTTTAATGTTTATTTATTTATTTTGAGAGAGCAAGAGCAGGGAAGGGGCAGAGAGAGAGAGACAGAATCCCAAGCAGGTTCTGCATTGTCAGTGCAGAACCTGATGGGGGGCTCGAATCCATGAACTGTGAGATCATGACCTGAGCCAAAACCACGAGTTGAATGCTTAATCCATTGAGCCACCAGGGTGCCCCAAGTGACAAACTCTTGATTTCAGCTCAGGTCATGATCCCAGAATCTTGGATTGAGACCCATGTTGGGCTCTGTGCTCAGCATGACGCCTGCTTGAGATTCTCTCTCGCCGCCCCCCCCCCCTTTCCCTATACCCCTCTCCCCTGCTCATGCTCTCTTAAAAAAAAATTTTTTTAAAGGTATGTTACAGACTTGATCCAAATATCTCTTAAAAACAAGGTTATATATTCTTGCAAAACCATAATACTATTATCATACCCAAGAAATTTAAACTAATAATATTCTCTAATATGCAGTCCCTATTCAAATCTCCCCAATGGCTCCATGTGGTCCTTTTTGGCTTTTTTTTCCCCCTTCCTAATAGTGCTGAAGTGTTGTTTAATTGAATGTCAGTGGTTTGTTCAGGGAAGGCATTGGAGAAATGCTTGTATTTCTTGGGTTTCTTGGGTTTAGCATTTGGGGAGGAGGGGACATGCATGGATGGGAAAGGCTGGAGAATCTCCAGGCAGATGAGCTGAGCCAGGAACTCTGACCTCAGTTTTGGCTTCAAATCAGATCCAGACCAAGACCGTGGCCCAATGCGTGGAATTCTACTACACCTACAAGAAGCAGGTGAAAATTGGTCGCAACGGGACGCTAACCTTCGGGGATGTGGATACAAGTGACGAGAAGTCGGCCCAGGAAGAGGTTGAAGTGGATATTAAGGTGACTCCCTTCCCAGCCTCAGCTGCTTAGAGTCCTGACTGTGTCTGGGGCCGAGGGCTGAGTTGAGAGCCTGGGGCCAAGCTCTCTGGAAGCCCCTGGAGGGTAAAGAGAGCAAGGCAGTGTCCCTGACAGCCCCAAGGAGCTAATGTCCTGGGCACTGGACCTAGCCCTTTAGGTCCCCCTGTCTGTCTGTCAGCGTCAAGGTAATAATACATTGTGTTGATGCAGAACATTGGGGAATTTTCCCACAATATCTGCATGAGCACTGACCTCCTGTCTCCTCATAGCACACCTCTAATACTGTTGCCCTAACTTGAGGCATTCTTGTACAACCATCATGAATGTGTTATCTCTGCATCCTACCACATGTCAACGTTACTGTTTCTACGACATCCGCATACCACCTGGGCTACTACTTCATATTTTTCTTTAAGTCAACTCAGTTTTTACTCAGAAGGGAAATGTTACGTCCCAATCATAAACAGAAAACCAGTACTGTTTGCCGTAGAAGGCACTAGCAAAAGTAAATATATATGAGAGTCAGTGTTGTTAAAATCCAGGTAGATACTGTTACCTGCCAGGGCTCTGAGTCTCAGACCTGACCTTTGGTTAAGTAAGTCTGGGGGCTTATTCTGGGGAGTGTGCGACTCTTGATCTTGAGCTCGTGAGTTCGAGCCCCACGTTCAGTGTAGAGATTACTTAAAAATAAAATCTTTAAGGGGCACCTGGATGGCTCAGTCGGTGAAGCATCCAATTTAAGCTCAGGTTGTGATCTCGTGGTTTGTGAGTTCAAACCCCACGTCAGGCTCTGTGCTGACAGCTCGGAGCCTGGAACCTGCTTTGGATTCTGTGTCTCCCTCTCTTTCTGCCCCTCTCCTGCTTGCGCTCTCTCTCTCTCGCTCTCAAAAATAAATATTAAAAAAAATCTGAATCACAGGAAAAATTATTAGGGAAGCATTAAATAGAGACAAGCAGAAGTTTCAAAAAAATCTCTAAAAAATAATAATAAAGTCTGGAGAAGTATAAAAGACACATTTAGACCTAACTCAAAACTTTATGTTTGACGTAATCAGGATAGAAAAGAGAATGCTATTTAATTCTGTGTCCACATATCCATCTAACATCATGTTGGGGTTATAACTCCATACTTGCTGACATGCTGCATGAAGACAGGGAGTGGTTTGGTCCCTCTTTTACAGACGGGGAAGTGGGTGGAGTTCCCAGAAGCATTACAAAGACAGTTTAGAACTGGAGCTAAGGCTGCTGTCTGCTCTTCCAGACCACCTTGCCGAAGGATGTGTCTGTCTCTTGGACTGGCATGCTCCCTTCCTGCCCCGAGCTCAATCTCAAGTGCTCAGTCTCTTCCTGAGGGCTTTCAGAGCTCAAGACTCCCTCTTCTTTCCCAGGCCGACTATCTGGGGGAGGAGATAGAATTATGTAGTGCAGGAGGCTGGCTGGGCCAGGCCAGGCAAGCAGGATGAGCAGGGACTAGTCGTCCCCGGCTGGGTCAGAATCTGAGCAGTATGGCTGTGTAACTAGAGCTCCAGGCTCACTGCCCTCATTCTTATCCCCCATAGACTTCCCAGAAGTTCCCAAGGATGCCTCTTCCCAGAAGAGAGTCTCCAAGTGAAGAGAGGCTGGAGCCCAAGAGAGAAGCAAAGGAGCCCAGGAAGGAGGGGGAGGAGGAAGTGCCAGAGATCCAGGAGAAGGGAGAGCAGGAAGAGGGGCGAGAGCGAAGCCGGAGGGCAGCGGCTGTCAAAGCCACACAGACACTACAGGCCAATGAGTCGGTAAGTGTGACCTCCACTAGGGGAGCCCAGGGCCAGGAGGAGGGCTGGAGCTGGGCCTGGGGGTGAGGGAGGGAGGGCAGAACAGGAACATGGTGATGATGATCATCGCCATAATGGCAGGAAATGTACTAAGTACCTTATGTTTTTAACTTATTTAATCCTCATAACCCTATGCGGTAGGTACTGTCATTATTCCCATTTTACATATGAGGAAATGGAGGCCCCTAGATAAGACAGCTGGTAGGTAGCCTGACTCCAAAATTCTGCTCTTAAGTTTTTATACTATACTGCTTCTGTACCTGAGACTGAAGAAGAAGGCTTTGTGAAAACCCAAAAGGTGTGTGGGACGTGGCAGAAGCATCTATGAGTTGTAGCTGTGGCAGGTTCTCCATAAGAGAGCTGTGTCCCTGACAAGAATATCTGACAAGAATGAGCTGAAACATTGGGGTGCCTGGGTGGCTCAGTCGGTTAAGCTTTGGCTCAGGTCATGATCTAGTGGTTCGTGAGTTCCAGCCCCTTATTGGGCTCTGTGCTGTTGGTGTGGAGACTGCTTGGGATTCTCTCTCTTTCCCTTTCCCCCACTTGCATTCTCTCTCTCTCTCTCTCTCTCTCTCTCTCTCTCTCTCAAAATAAATAAACTTAAAAAAAAAAAAGGGCTGAAACAATGAGAATAATAACAATGGCCCCTCTCATAGGTTCTCTGCAAAGTGCCTTCCTTTCCAGTATCTCATTAATTCCTCACAATAACCCCATAAAGTGTTAACCCCTACCTCAAAGATAGACGCAACTGAGTTCAGAGATGATATGTGACTTGCCTGAATTCCTGCCTGCAGTCCTCGTAGTGAAGTCCTCTGTCCACCATATCATAGACCAAGAAACAAGACATACCACCAGAGGTGTTCCTTGTCAGGGAGATGTCCCCCCAAAGACAGTAGGGCTTACTATGAGAGCCTTACAAATTTTTTTGTGTGTTGTACACTTAGGCTTGCAGGAAGACTCCAGACTGTTTGCTCCCTTCTGAGCCTGGGCTGTGCTCTTTCTCCCAGAGCTGTGCTCTATGCGCAAGCTTCATCAAGTCCTGCTGACTTTTGGGAATACTTCCCTAGGAGGGTCAACCCCATGCACGTACTTATGACTCCTAGCGGCCATTTGAGGCTCCCCTAACCCAAGGCCTGTGATTCCTCCCAAGCACCTCTCCAGGTCTGTTCCAGGTGTCCTCCACTCTCCATCATCTGCTTGGCATTTCTTGTGGTGATTCATGCTGTCTGTCCCTTTCACTAGATTTCAAGCTCCCTGAGAGCAGGGGCTCCTGTCTGTCCCCTCTGTATCCCCAGCATATGGCACCGTCACATGGATTTGAATCTGATTTATGGAATTAAGGCATGAATGGATGGACTAAATGAAGACGTGAAAACATCAATTGAGACACCAAGACCCCCTTCAGATAGATGCATGGAGACGTCTTCTGGCAGCTTGGGCTGTCCCACAGGATTACTGTACCAACAGCTTTGTAAAGATACAGTTGGCCAGGGGCACCTGGGTGGCTCAGTTGGTTCAGCGTCTGACTTTGGGTCCGGTTATGATCTCGTGGCTCTTGAGTCTGAGCTGTGCATCCGGCTCTGTGCTGACAGCTCAGACCCTGGAGCCTCTTCAGGTTCCATGTCTCCCTCTCTCTTTGCCCCTCCCTAGCTTGTGCTTTCTCTCTCTCTCTCTCTCTCAAAAATAAATAAACA